CCAGAACCTTGGGGGGTCCCAAAATCTTGGGGGGTCCCGAAATCTTGGGGGGGTCCCAGAACCTTGAGGGGTATCAAAATCTTCAGGGATCCCAAAATCTTGAGGGGTCCTGGACCCCCCTGAGGGATCCCAGAACCTTGGGGGGTCCCAAAACCTTGAGGGGTCGAGGGCTCTGTGTCCCCGAGTTCCAGCAGCACCTTCCCATTCCAGAATTTTCCTTTTCATTCCGGAATTTCCCTTCCCATTCCGGAATTTTCCATTTCATTCCGGAATTTTCCCTTTTTCCATTCCAGAAGCTGCTCCTGCTCTTTCCATTTTCTCCCCATTTTATCCCCATTTTATTCCCATTTTCCCCCCATTTTCTCCCCATTTTATCCCCATTTTCTCCCCATTTTCTCCCCATTTTCTCCCCATTTTCTCCCCATTTCCCCCCCGTTTCCCCCCCGTTCTCTCCCGTCCCGAGGCTCCGGTTCCCGCTCCCGCCGCTTCCCTGCTCTTCCCAAGCCTGGAATTGGGGTCCCGGAATCTTCTGGAAGCTTTTGGGATGGATCCCGAACGGGCGAGCGCGGCCCCGGCTCCTTCCCTGGAGCTCCGGGTCCGGAGGGGATAAATCCGGGATAAAATCGGGATAAAATCCCGATAAAATCGGGAAAAAATCGGGATAAAATCAGGATAAAATCGGGATAAAATCGGGATAAAATCAGGATAAAATCGGGATAAAATCCCGATAAAATCGGGATAAAATCGGGATAAAATCGGGATAAAATCGGGATAAAATCGGGATAAAATCCCGATAAAATCGGGATAAAATCGGGATAAAATCGGGATAAAATCCGGGATAAAATCCGGGATAAAATCGGGATAAAATCCGGGATAAAATCGGGATAAAATCCCGATAAAACCCCGATAAAATCCCGATAAAACCCCGATAAAATCCCGATAAACATCCTGGATAAAATCCCGATAAAATCCCGATAAAACCCCGAAAAACATCCTGGATAAAATCCCGATAAAATCCGGGATAAAATCCCGATAAAATCCCGATAAAATCGGTATAAAACCCCGAAAAACATCCGGGATAAAATCCCGATAAAATCCCGATAAATTCCCGATAAATTCCCGATAAATTCCCGATAAATTCTCTATAAAATCCCGATAAATTCCCGATAAATTCCCGATAAAATCCCGATAAAAT